CTCTGTAGTCTTACTTTACAAAGATTTTCTGCGCTTGGTTTATATTCTGTTCTGTTATTCAGTTTAATATCAGTTCTTCCAAAGTTCATAATAAACTTATATAGTCTAAGGTTAGAAATTAAGTGTTAGGGCGCCCTGCCTCTCGACTTACAGACCACGTATCCTTACTAGAACTAACATAGTGCTGTCTTTCATACGATAGCTATCGATAACATTTGTTCATTTATCGAACTGAGTTTTGTACACAGAAGACTGTCTGCCGAACATCGGGTTTCTGTGGGCCACAACCTAATATAACCGTCTCTAATGGCACAATTCTCTTGCTACTAGAAACCTAATCTTCCTTTCCATATTCTCAGTTATGTATCACTAATTTTGTTTTTAAATTTACGTCTAGCTTTATACAAATATTGTCATATATTCCATAATTATATAAAATTATTATAGTTTATCATTGTCTTCATCATTAATAATAATCTATTGCTTATATTAAAAAGAAAATTGCTCCCTTTGTTTCCTCGTCACGAAACGTGTTAATATAATCTGTAAAAACATCCTCTTCCCCTATAGAAGGATGACATCCCCCATTTCTCAAATCCTTTTCTCACCCCTATCATCGCTAAACCATGTTGATCATCTTCTCATATTTCTTGTTCAACCATCTTTGTGTGCTTCCACAAACCACACAAATTTCATGTCACTATAGAATATTAAAGCCATCTTAACCCCAATATTTAAAAAATATATATCGTGGTATTCTGTATCTTTCCTTAACACTTCCACGTAACAATAATATGATGATTATAATGATAATAATGGCTTAATAACAATGTAAAAATAAAAATGTAAATTTGGCATAAAAATAATGTGGAAAGTCACGAGGTGACTATTAAGCCATTTCAGCGATAGGAATAATCCATCATGTGTTGGTATAATACGAGTTTAATAAAACGATTTCTGTCATGGATGACTCTAGAAATTATTTACTGTCTATGGGGCCTTGTAAAAGCTCATCACTGATCCATTTCCCGTGCTACATGAATCCAGCCAGCCCTCTCACATCGTATTTAATTGAGATCGTTTTAATATTATCCTCTCTTTTGCACGCCCGTGTCCCAAGTGGTCCTTTCCTCTTTGGATTTAGGACTAAAATTTCACAAACATTAATCACAACAATAACAATAATATATTTTAATATATATTTAAATATGAAATGTTAATTATAGTAATAATATTTTAATATATTAATATTTAATAAAATATTTTATTGTGATTAGACGGTTAAAATAAACAATTATAATCATCACAATATGACGCAACAATATCACCTCACAATAACAGCTGTTTATAAATTTTTCCAGGCTTCCAGTTGAAATTCTAGGTTTATATTTAATCAGCGCCCTACGTATTCTTGATGTTTCGACAGAGACCTTCGTCCTTTGTCAAGAAAGGTTTTTTCGGTGGCGGAAATCGTCAGTCGGTCACAACGGGCAAGTAATTTGGCAACCCCTAGCGCATCTAACCCTTAAATTTGTTACTACAAATATTTTCGTGGAACTTTTCTATGTTAGGGGATGCTGATATGAACCAGGTGGTTTCAGAAATGGAAAGAACATAACACATTCCCTTGGATCCAGACAAAATGCATCATTTCCAAAATTGTACTACTTCAGTACAGTTTTAACTCTAGTACGAACTGACGTCACGCACATACGAACGATTTCAAACACAGCTGTTGATATTATCTGCGTTGCATGGACCAAACTTTGTTGACAGATGTTATGAAACCTGCCTTCTGAATGACGTACTTTCATTTTCAACTAAATCTTAATTCCGTATTTTATAAGAATTTGCCTCATTTATTTAAGCCAGCATCGACAAATGCTATGAATAAACTAATATTACTTGATGGTTTGTAAACATGAACAGCAGTCAACCAACATTCTTCCATCATTTATTTAATTCCTCATTCCTACAATCAAAATATTAAAACACTTTAACTTTTCAAGAATTTTGCTCTACATCATAAACTACTACACGTGGTGTACGATAAATTTCAAGATTTAATTTTACCCTAAACCTTGTATACATTGGAGTTTTGGCAACCCTGCTCTACACTTAATTATCCACATTATTCTATTTGTTTATCTATAATTTCTCTCCACTTAATTATCAACATTATTCTATTTGTTTATCTATAATTACGTAGTCAGTACACGTTGTATATTTGTACCTGACCACCATAGTTTATTGGCATAACGTAAATGAATAGGTATAAATTTAGACATGAGTTAGACAACCCACACGTGATAATTCTCAGGATAAGATAGAAACGGGAGGAAACATAAATGGACCACATGGTAGAAACAACTTATGAAAGGAAAAGATCTGTGATATGTCTGCTTTGATCCAGCCAATGTAGGTCAGATTAGTGAAGTCTGTTTCTGTCATTATTTATTTATTCCTTCGTTCCGTTTTCATTTCTGTGCGTTATATATATTCCAGCCTCTCTGGGTACTAATAAAGTCCCGTAGGAAAGCGCGCAGTGGTTTCCTGTAGGCCCATCTTTCTGTCCAACTAATTCAAACTCTCACCAAGTAAAATGATTTCCCATATTCCCCTTCCAACAGCTAGCTGTTTACGTGAGGAGACAATTCGCACTATACTTCGTGCTGATTTCTACGTACGGACTAACATCTCCTGAATTCTGATATTTCATGTTCTCACGGTGACGAATATGAATTAGACTGTAATCTCGTAAAAGTTTATCAGCGCTTCAGATGTACGTACTGCCTCCATCACAAAGGCATGTGGTCGTATGCTGGCACCAACCAAAAACCAGATACCTTATTTAAACACGCTTACATTACTTATAAAACAAAGTAACTTTACGAGATTCAGTTGATATTTAGGCTATGTACTTCAATAATGAAAGTCGTTTTGTGTATTTTCTATTAGTAAAAACAGGTACATAAAATTTCTTGGTTATGAGTCCATTAAAGTGTAAAAGAGGGACTTCTGTATAAGACGTTTAGAAATTCTGATAAGCCATAGAACGCACACACAAGAACTTATAATTTTATGTTATCAAAACGAATAAAAACACTTCAGAACAGTGCCTTACACGTTCTACCCCTACGAATCAAGTATCTGAAGAGTTGTACCTCTTTAATTCGTTAAAGTCGCATCAGGTTTCATTCATGGAAAAGCATCCAGGCCTGCGTATTACAGTCAGTAAAGCAACAGTCAGTTTTCAGCAAATTGAAATGAAAAATATTACTGAAAACGTCCAGTACCTCAGTAAAGCAACAGTCAATTTTCAGCAAATTGAAATAAAAAATATTACTGAAAACGTCCAGTACCCTCTACTTGTGTTTGTCCTCTTACACAAAATTGTAATGAAACAATTTCTGACAATTTGCATTGTGTCATTTACTGATGTTTGTTCACCCCTACGATGCTGTTGATCAGTCTAGTCTGTGAGTGCGTGACAGTGAAGTGTCATGGCTGACGCCTTAAGGAATACACATAAATAAACCCTAACAGAGAACACAAAAAATAGGTTACTAACAGCTGCGACAATTTTGTGACTGAATATAAGAAACGAAACTGTTGGTTTTAAGACACGCTTCGTCTTCCTGATTATGTAAGAGAGATCATTACATTGCTATCTACATTTATTTCGTATAATTGTTACGGCATTACAAGTAATCTTCATTGTACGATACGTAAGTAAAGTTTGTCCCACTATACGCCATGTAGGCGCTTGGGGGGAGTGGAGGTATAGCTCCTCTCTTCCTTGACCTCGGCACTAGATGGGGGTGAGTGGTCAGCATCACGCCCCGGCCGGCTTTACCCCCGGGACTCATGGATGTCTACAGTATTGCATTTCTTTAATACGTTTCAAATGAGACTGAAACACTGGACTCATGAATTATAGATTTTCAGCCCCAAACAAAGTTTCGTCTTTAAAGTCCTAAGATATCCCACGATTGAGTCTAGCTCGATCAAAATCATTGAGTCATCGCCCCGATAATGAAGGCAGCAAGCACCTATGAAACGTCTGTTAAATATGATACACCTGTAACTGGAATGCGTATCTACAGTAATTAGAACTTTACTCGATTACTTGATTTGTAATGAGTTGTCACAATAAAAAGAAGGAACGTTTTTTAAGTAGACTCGGTTAGATGAAGTTGGACTGACGACACCACGTCATTATCTGAACCCATAGTAGTGTGGTATCAGATAGTTGGGGGTGGGGTGGGGGGTCGTGATTTACTGCACCTCGCCCGTAAATATTCCTGCCTGACGTCGCCGTTGATTGTGTTTGCCAAGCTATGCGCCCCGGGTATATGGTCCCTGCTGCCTTTAGTACACAGTGGCGGATTGAGGATTTCATCAGATGAATCCAACTAGCGTCTGGGTCTACTATTCCTGCTTTAACAATATAAACCACACTGGAAAACACAAATTGTTCCAGTCTGAACAACGCTGAGCTTGAATTATTTCTAGGGACAAATTCATAACAGGTATGGAAAAAATTAGCCATTTGTAGGGAACACGTTACGTTTCAGACGAGCTAAAATGTTATCTGAAAAATGTGACGATAAGAGGTCACTCAGGAGACTTTACGTAGATAATATGAGATAATTAAGATGGTTCTTAGACTACTTCAATAAGACGTGAGAATTTTATTGACAAGCTGTGCGACTATTAGCTTCATAACAAGGATCATGACGAATGTACTTACATACTTTATAGAAAAGTAGTGTGACGACAAGGTTTGGATTCAGATGATACTAGATAGTCCAATAACACACTTCAGCGAACACAGGTAATGAATTTGTCCATCGAGTAACTGACCTTTGGTCAGTGAAGACCCGTGTACCGCGGAGCGGAGTCAGTGATGAAATGTGCCTTCTTCAGAGAAAAACATGAAACGGAAATCTGGAGAATGTCTCATATAGGCCTGGGTTACAAACGATGCCTTAGCTTACCTCTTTACCGCCACGATCCTTCCACCTCGCCCACGTGTTGCTGTTGAAACCAGGTCGCCAGTATTCCAACATATACACCTCGGCATACTCTTGACCCATCCCGTTACCAAATCGACCCTGGGTCTGCACAGCAGTCATTACGTGCATCGTGTGGAGGTTCACCTCCAGATACTCCAACGCCTCTCGTGTCACCATATGCTTGGGACACCAAGCGCCTCCGTTCTTATCGTGACGCAACCTGCAACAAAGATAGTTGCTTCTCTGTAAGGCAGTCACCATACCATGCCAGGCGGATAATCCCATGATTATCAGTTGTAATTCAGTCAGTTACAGCACTAACAAAAATCGATACGAACTTCTGAGGTTGGAACAGACATCAGTGCTATTTAACACTATTACCGAGAAATGTTGAACAATAAAAAAATCTTGAAAAAAAAATTCAAATTTGTTTACATTTAAAACCATGCGAAATCTAGTCTACACTTTCTTTATAACCCAGTGAAATTTATCACCTGCTGTAACATTCACTATCTGTACAATTTTATTTATGGGACTTGTATGATTTTCACTGTAAAAAGGAATTATTTCCTTAAACAGCATTAACAAATTTATCTTTATATTGGCGAAGTTCTGCGTCTTCTTCGCGGTAAGGAATAAATTCTTAGATATTATTTAGATAAACTTCGCCTTCTAAGGGTTAATGGTGAACAACTATTACAGGTATACACGTTACAAACTTTGGGAGCGACATAATAAACCAGAATTTCATCCACTAAAATCTAAGAAGAGGCTGGTGTCCAGAATTCTTGGTGCCACGCAGTTCAGAATCGGCTGACAGCAATGCACCAAACGAAAGAAAGTAACTGGATATGCCAACCATTTCTCGACAAACGTCACAGGGGTTATTTGTGCTAGATATGCAAATCTGTCTCTGTAAGTGGCGTGTCTGTTCCATGTGCAGTGGCATTTCAAGTTACAGACTTGCCACAGAATACTAAAGAAGCTCCCATCTTTTACCACTGCACACAGACTCCATCTTAGAGTTTCAATTTCCGTTGTAATGACAGATACTTACTACTTACGTGTTACCAACACACAACAGCTCTCCCATAATGCAAACTACAGTAATTAAACCACGTTGGTCGTTTAAACATTATTAACTGAGCGCTAAGATGAATAATTTCAGCGTCAACACTTGCAAACAAGTAGATATACAAGTATAAAGTTCTCTTGAGTTACTGGCTTTAAGTAATTTAAAGTTGGCAATATTTATTGAGCATATTTCATATCGGGATACTTAGTAGGTTTTGGCCACAGTATAGTTATTAAGCTTTCAGTTTAATATTTAATACGAAAAATCAGAGACGTTAATGTTCATCTCATTTTGAGATTGATAATCTACAACTAAGATGTTGAAGATTGTCCTCCTATCTCCTCCATTGGTGTCCAGATCTCTTTCTCTCTTTGCGTTTGATTGGTTTTCATAAAGTATTGTGTCGACATGGGTATATTTTAATTTCATTACAAAGATTCTGACATCCGCCGTATAGTCTGGTAGAAGTTGGCCGACGTTTCAGGGGAGCTTGCTGCCTCCATCATCATGCCAGAATACCATACTACACGGAGCAACATCATAAAAGACACAGGCGTCTCCATACTCTTAAAATTCAATTAACTATTACAGCTTACTCTAACCAATCTGTGACACAATGCTAACGCCTCTGGATGCCATAAGAATTGTGTTCGTAAGACAAATGCTATATAAAACGTCCAGAGTTTGTGAAACAACATCAACCTGTTGACAAGATCCACTCGTAGTCTCATTTTAAAAAGGACTTACAAACTATTAATTAGCAAGCCGACGCTGAAAGTATTAAGAAGGGGGGGGGAATAGTAAGAATAACCAGATGATACGCATCGAGGGGCCGCTAATTTGACAGGAGGCGCCGATCCTCATTTGCATACAAGGAGCTGTAGACCAAACCTTCCCTCCATGTATTAATTCGTGACCTGCAGAACAAACAATTACAGAAGAAATTCTCCTCAGCATTCATTACCGTGTCTTCTTCTATATTCGGTTTCACTGACATCAGAAACTAAAGAGTTCAGTTCTTATTCCAACAGCAACTACATCAGTGTTTAACCCCTTTCTTTTAAAATACGGATATTCAATTTAAACAGTATAATTCTCTATAATTCTCTACAATAATAACAAATACTTAAACTTTTGTCATACTTTGACGCGTGACTTCGACTACAGGTAACATTCGCCATCGGCTTTTTCGCATATCCAAGGATTTATTTCAGAATTACGTAGAGCGGCCAAATTTTAAAGCCTGCGTCTAAACTTCTCCAAGCGGGAACAAGTAAATTTTGGAAATAATCATTATACATTGACAGACAGAATGCTATAAGGGCAGAGGAATTCAGATACAAATATTTAAACTTTGTCATCATTATACGGGTAGTTTATCGGCTGTGAAACGTAACCGGACAAAAAATCTAAAATGTATATTTACGAGGTAACAAATAAAATTCAGGCATGAGGATGATTTGAAATATTTAATACATTTACCTCTATAACATACAATTAATTTTATCGAGGTATTCATAAATATTAAAACTACAATAGAACGTTGGATTTGTGGTTTTCACGGCTGTGAGTCCGAAATCCGAGAACTTCTTCGTTGTGGCGTCATGTAGTCTGATAGACGTTTACCAACGTTTCAAAGGTCGTTACTGCCTCCATCATCAGGGCGATTACGGTTGTGTCAACAGTGCAATATATGGCTACAGAATACAACAGACTAAATATGTGATGAGGACGATGGATCATAGGCCAATAAATCTGACTCAAATCATAAACCTCGAAGATAAATGGACCGAGGAAGGGTTGGGATGGAGTCGTAGCGGGCAGAAATTGGGCCCATTC